TGAGAATTGTTTGTTGAGTTCATTTGCCCCATTATCTATTGAGTTTGTTATTCTTTGTGGGTTAGTTTTTTGAGCTCCATGTATATTGTTTTTTTTAATCCCTTGCAAATGTATAGCTTGCAAAAATATTTTCCCATTCTGTAGGCTGTCTCTTCAGTCTAGTAACTGTTTCCTATGCTATGAAGAAGCTTTTAGTTTGATGCAGTCCCATTTGTCAAGCCTTTCTCTTAATTGCTGAGCTATTGGAGTTGTAAACAGGAAGTTATTAACTATGCTTATATGTTCCAATGTATTCCCTATTCTTTCCTATAGTAGTTTCACATGTTAAATTAAGATCTTTGATCCACGTTGAATTGATACTGGTACAAGGTAAAAGACTGGAATGTAGCTTCAGTCTTGTACAGGTGAATATACAATTTTCCTAGTACCATTTGTTGAAGAGTTTCTATTTTCAGTGCATGTTTTGGGCTTCTTTGTCAAAAATCAAATGGCTGTAGCTGTGCAGGTTTGTATTTTGCATTCTGTTCTGTTCCATTGATCTTCATGTCTGTTTTTTTGCCAGTACCATGCTGGTTTTATTACCATGGCTGTATATATAGTTTGAAGTCAGGTATTGTGATACCTCTAGCATCGGTCTTTTTCCTGAGGATTGCTTTGGATATTAAAGAGCTCTTTTGTCCTCCAACTTTAGGATTGATTTTTCTATCTCTGTGAAGAATATGATTGGAATTTTGACAGGGATTGCATTGACCATATAGATGGCTTTCAATAGTATAGCCGTTCTCACAATGTGAATTCTGCCGATTCATGGGTATGTGATGTCCTTCCATCTTTTAATGTTGTCTTTGGTTTCTTTCTTTGATGGTTTATAGTTTTTGTGATACAGATCTTTCACTTCCTTGGTTAAATTTATTCCTAGGTATTTTAATTTTTTTCATGCTTTTATGAATGATATTGTTTTCCTGATTTTTTTCTCAGACTATTCATTGTTTGTGCATAGAAATGCTAGTTTTTTTATCTATTGATTTTTATATCCTGCTACTTTGCTGAAAGTGTTCAAGATAGGTCTAAGGGTTTTTGGTGGAGTTTTAAGTGTCTTTTAGAAATAAGATCATAGCATCTGCAAATAGGGATATACTTTCCTTCTCTATTTGAATCCCTTTTCTTTCTCTCTACTGCCTTACTGCTCTGGCTAGGAATTCCAATAATATATTGGGGAATAGTGGACACCCTTTTCTCTGCTTTTAGAGGAAATGGTTTCAGTTTTTCCCCATGTAGTATGATGTTGGCTACAGGTTTGTCCTATATAGCCTTTATAATGTTGAGGTATGTTCCTTCTGTTTCCAGTTTCTTTAGAGCTTTTATTTTATCTTTTTGTTGTTTTTGTCTTTTTACTTTTGTTGTTGTTGTTGTTGTTCTTTAGAGTTTTTATCATGAAAGGATGTTGACTTTGTGGAAGGCTTTTTCTACATTTATTGAAATGGTGATGATGTGTTTTTTGTCCTTGATTCTGTTTATGTGTTGTATTATGTTTATTGATTTATATGTATGTTGTACCATCTTTATTTCCCTGGAATGAAACTTATTTGATCATGGTGTATATCGTTTTGATGTGTTGTTGGATTTGGTTTACAAGTATTCTACTGAAGATTTTTGCATCTGTGTTCATCAGGGATATTGACCTTTCTTTCTTGTTTTCTGGGGTGGGGGTGGAAATGTATCTTTACCTGGTTTGATATTAGGGCAATACTGGCTTCATAGAATGAGTTTGTACTTTTTGGAATAGTTTGAAGAGCATTGATGTTAGATCTTCTTTAAAGATCTGGTAGAATTCATCAGTGAATCCATCTTTTCTTTATTGGGAGGTTCTTTATAACTATTTCAATCTCATTACTTGTTTGTTATTTATGTCCATTTAGTTCAATTTTGATGGGTCATATATATTAAGAAATTTATCTTTTTCTTCTTGGTTGTCTAGATTGCTAGAATATGGGTTTTCAAAATATTCCCATGTAATCTTCTGAATTTCATTGTTATCTATTATAATAATGCCTTTTTCAGCTCTGATTTTATTAATGTGAGCCTTCTCCTTCTTTTACTTAATTTGGCTAAAGGTTTGTTGGGCTTGTTTATTTTTTTCAAAGAACCAAGTTTTTGTTTCATTGATTTGTTCTATGAATTTAGGAATTAATTTCTTTCCGAATTTCTTCAATGACCCTTTGAACATTCCGAAGTATGTTGTTCAATCTCTGTGAGTTTGAATGGTTTTTGTGGTTTTCCTTACCATTGATTTCTAGTTTTATTTTATTATTGTCTATTAGGATATGTGAGATTACTTCAGTTTTTCTGTATTTGTTGAGATTTTCTTTATGACCCAGGATATGATCTGTTTTGGAGAAAGTTCCATGGATTGTTACCAAAAAAAAGTGGAATCTGATGCTATAGGATGGAATACTCTATAAATAATATTTCATTTATGGTATTGTTTAGTCGTAGGATATCTGTTAATTTTTTTTTTTTTTTTGTCTGAATGTTCTTACTATTGATGGGACTGGGGTGTTGAGATTTCCCGCTATTGTATCAGGACCTGTCTCTTCCTTTATGCTCAGAAGTGTTCGTTTTATGAAGTTGGGGGCACCAAAGTTCAGATACATATTCAGATTGTTATATCTCCTTGCTGGATCACTCCCCTTTATTAGTATGTATGTTTTAGTATGTAGACCTTTATCTCTCCTGCCTGATTTTTGCTTAAGATCTGCTTTGTCTGATATAAGAATAGCTACTTCTGCTTGCTTTTGATTTCCACGTGCCTTGTATATCTTTTTCCAACCTTTCACTTTTAGTTTGTGTGTGTCTTTGGTTTTGATGTATGTTTCTTACAGACAACAGATTGTGGATCTTGATTTTTGATCTAATCAGACAATCTGTGTCTTTTGATTGGACAGTTAAGTCTGTTTACATTTAGGGTTATAATTGAGAAGAATTTATTGTATTCCTGTGTTTCTGTTGCTCCCCTGCATCCCCAACATCCAGGTTGAGTGTCCTGTTGATTGTTCTTTCCTTTTAGCGTTGTTCATTTTTGCTGGTTTACTGAGTTGATCATACTTGATACTTCCCTAGCTCTCATCGGTTCATCAATTTCCTTTTGAGTTTTATTCTTTCCTGACCTCTTATGTTTGTGATTGCTTTTCTTTCTCTTCTGTGTGAAATATTCCATTGAGTTATCTTCTGTAATGCAGGCGTGGCGGACATGAACCACTTTATTTAAACTTATCTTAGAAGGTCTTTATTTCTCCATCAAGACTAAAGGATAACTTTGTTGAATATAGCATTCTTGGATGGCAATTAATTCTCTTTCAGAGCTTGGATTATACTGCTCCATGCTCTCCTGGTATAGTATTTTTGCTTAGAGGTCGGAAGTGATTCTTATGTGTTTACCCTTGTATGCAAGTTGGCATTTTTCTCTTACAGCTTTCAGTGTCCTTTCTTTGTTCTCTAACTTTGGCATTTTAGTTATGTGACATGGGGTTGTTCTTTTCTGGTCATGTCTATTTGGAGTTCAAAATGCTTCCTGTACATAGATGTTTATATCATTACATAGAGTTGAGAAATTTTCTGATATGATTTCATTGAATATGTTTCTTATGCCTTGAGTTTGAATTTCAGTTTCTTCCTCCCTATGAATTCCTAGGTTTGGTCTTTTGATTGTGTCCCAGAGTTCTTGTATGTTGTAATCATAGGTATACTTTTTTTTTTTTTTGTAGTTGCCTGTGTGCAGTATCTCCTTGATCTCATGCTCCATCTCTAATATTTTTGGTCTTGTCTGCTGTTAATATTATCCACCTTGGTTTTAGTTGATTTATTGAGGTTTTCATTTCTAACATTTCTACTTTTTTTTTCATGATTTCCATTTTTTTGCTGAATTTCTCTTCCATGTTTGACTTTCTTGTCCAAACCTTGGATTGATTTCCTAACTTCATTTGTTTATTTATTTTAATCCTCTCTGGAGTCACGGATCATTTTTAACAGTAGGCTTTTGAATTCTCTAGCAGACATTTTAGCCAACTCATCTTTGAATTCAGTTTTTTGAGATTTTGAAGGGGAGAGAGACATTGCTTAGTTTTTCATATTTAAATTTTTATGGTGTGATTTGCACACTTGTTGAGCTAAGTTTTTGTTTTACTTCCTCACTTAAGAAGAGAAACTACTGCAGTTATAAGGTCAACAGTTCAGCAATAATCCACATATTTGAATGAATAAGAAACAATTGGAATCCTTATCTGTCTCCCCACTGAGGTTATATGGAAGCAAAACTCCTGTTCCTAGAGGGATGATCTGGTTGTTTAACATTCGAATGAGAAATATAAGAAATGGGCGTGGAGAAGAGAGGAAAGTAGGAAGATAGAAGGGGAACTAGGTACAGGAGATAATAGTATGAGAGAGAGCTTGGGGTGGGCGTTTTGTAACCACTTACCCCCAAGCTGAGAGGTTGGAGCTGCAAAATTTTTGTTAATTTACTCTGTCACCTTTCTGTTTCACTGTATTTGTTAGTTGTTTTGTCCCTCTTTTGTGGTTTTCACTGTTCTCTTTTGCTTTTCTCTGTGTTCCAGACTTTCTATTGCTTTCTACTCCTCCATCATCTTGTCTTGTCTCCTATTACAATGAGCTCATTCTTACAATATTACAATACTGTGTCTCCTTTACTGAGAGCATTTTCAATAAAAGTGTTATGTAAGACCTTTGCTTTTAAATTAACTTTTGTTTCTCTCAGTCATTAGAATAAAGCTCTAATGCTTATGGAGTCGTTCTTCTTTTTAACTAAAATGTGTTAGTTTTTATGGAACCATTTAAGGATTTATAAGTTTTTTGTTGGATTGTTGATTATGTTTGTGTTTATTGATTAAGAAAATTGAGGTGGTCAAATGTCCATTATGTGGGAGCAATAGATCATTATTTCACATACCTTCTGTCAGTGTTAACAAAGCTTTCTTTGTTGTATCTTATAGGTGATATTTGAAGGCAGAAAAGGTAATTTTCAAGGAATTCCAACCAGACTTTTGAGTACTTATTATTTGGAACACCTTGGGGAGTCATTGATTTATTGAATCAGTTGGTAACAGAAAATGAAAAGCAGTGTGGCACATATGAAAGTAAGTGTTTGAAACTTATGATAGATATAAGCTTATAGTCAACTAATGACCTATCCTTTAAAAACAGTGCATTTATATCATTAGAATCAGAAAATAGAGTCACATCATACATAATTCTAACTTCATTCAGTTTCAAAGGTAGATACTTGGCTTGTTGAGAATAATTATGTGCAGAAGGTTGTTGAGAGAAGATACAGAATGTATTTCTGTGTGTGTGTGTGTGTGTGTGTGTGTGTATGTGTACTTACATGCATGTACACATCGGTGCCTCCACAAATCATGTGAGAAGGCAAATGTAATAGAAAATAAATAACAAATGGTACATGAAATTCTGCCATTATTCCCCTCTAGGGGCATGCTTTCCTGAGTAAGTGTGACATGGAAGGCAGGTATCTCCTTCTATTGGTCTAGGTTCTTATGTGTCTATCTGCAGTGTGAGCTTCCTACTGCATATTTCATATGCATAGATGGTTTCTTTATTATATGCTGTACTTTATGTTAGATATTCTTTTATTCATCAATTACATACTGAATTCTTACTATGTTGCAATGACTTTTAAAGCATTTTGAGCAAAATAGCAAACAAAAACAAATCTTTATTCCCATGGAATTTACATTCTAGTGTGAGGAGACAGGAAATAAATTGTAAACTTGGTACCTAAGTAAGCTATATAGTATGTTAGGGTGTTAAGCATTAGACTTTGTGCTGTGGAGAAAAGAGATAAGATAGGGTAAGGGGTGTCAGTAACACTGAGGGTTGCAGTTTGTAGTAGGGAAGTGAGTGTAGAGCCCATTGGAGAGGAAGGTAGCTATTTAAGCAGAGACACAGGAGACAAGAGTTGGCCACTCAGATATCTGGAGAAGACTACCAGAAAGTGGGGACATCAAGTGAAAAGGCAGAGTTTAGTGTGACTGGATTAGGTTATGAGAAGGGAAGTCCAGCTGTGACAGGACTCATGTGCTTTCAAAACTGTTCTGCCTGTGAGTGGTATTCACAGAGCAAATCATTCAACTTCTTTTTCATTTCAGCTGCACAGATATACAAGCCAGCACATCACTTCTTGGTCCTTAGATTCAGTAAAGGGAAGGACTATTTTTATTTAATTATAAGTATAGGCATTTTCTCTTCCTCTCCAACAGCTCTGTATCCCTTCTTTAAAGTGAACTAGTAGACTGCAAGCTCCTTGACCAAGTAGTAAGGACAACGCCTGGTGCTTTGTAAGTGTGTATCAAAACTGCACCTGCTGCCATATTTTCCATTTTTGGGGTGTGAGATGACATTATCTGGCCTTCCTGGTAGGTACATCCATCCTTTGCTTGCATATCTTCTTTGAAAGGGGAATCTTTCTCATAAGCTGTTTCCATTTGATAGTAGATTCTTCATCTGTTGATCTGAAATCTGCCTCTTTTAGTCATTGGTCCTTTGTTACTTAAACAGTGAATTTATTGAGGGCCCAGTAGGTGGCAGGCTTTGTTAGGAGGTGGGTATAGTAAGAGAAAGAAGACTTGAACACAACTGACTTTTGAGTGAGTTGTTAGCGGAGAGCACTCAGATCTTTAGACTGACCTTTTATGAGAGAGAAACATCATAATCTGCTTCCTGCTACTTCTTCAGGGGTGTCCCTCTTGTGGTCCTGATGGGTCTTTTGTGGAATCATCTCAGATTGGAAGGGACTCTTCATACTTCAGTTCAGCATGCCCTTCACATTGACTGAACAGAACTGGCCAGCTTCTTTATTTAACTAGAGCAAGCTCTCCACCTCCTCCAGCCCTTTCTCTCCCCTCTGAAGATTTCTTTCCTGAGCCTAGTGGATGCTCAGAGCCACTGAACTCAAGCATTAATACCCTGTTCCACTGGCCATCTCATAGTACTTTCTCTGTACTGTTTAGAGACTGTGGTGATTGCACAGTGTCATCATATTTGTTTTGCTTAATGAACAATTTGGAGAATTTTAAACGTAATTTTGACTATATTATGTATAACTGTTGTACTGACTTATCTAAACTTTATAAGGGAAATTCATGTTCTTAATACTTGGATACCCCAAAATGATTTTTAACTTAATGAAATACTATAATCCACCAAAGCTGAATTCAAGTCTTATAATTGCTCAGTGCTATATTACAGGGATTGTGCCCTACTCACAATCTCCTGTTAGCACTTATTCTGTGTGCCAGTCATTTGTACTTGATCATATTTATGAAATCCTTCTGATTCACAACTTCAGTGCTTCTGGTTTCTTCCTCTCATTCACAATAGATGTTGCAGAGATGTGTTAAAAATCATTAACGTAGAATTGTAGCCCTCTCCTTGATGTAGTCAAAATAATTGTCCTGCTTTGTAAAAGAAAAAGTAGGTAGTACAGTTTTATTGTTACCTGATTCCTCCTCTCTCTAGCTTTTTCTGGGACATACGATCTGATATTTTTTTTAATTATGCAAATCTTTATAAGCTTCTCTGTCCTACTAAACACACTAAACAGGGCTGCCTACTAAATGTGAAGACCATAAACTCCTTGAGGGTCATTCCTATCATTTGTATCCTTTAAGTCTATTCAGTAAAGACTATGTCTTGCAATAAATGTCCATGTATTTTATATTATCATTGAGCTGAATGGCTTGATCTTGATGAATAGATTTATAGAAAACTATGTCAAGCATATTAATCAATTCTTCTTCATTGTGTCGCTAAGTGATATTTTAAAAAACTTTATAGTATATATTAAAAACCAGATTTATGCAGTGTACTTCAGACAGTTTCACACTTTCCATTATATTTCTATTTTTCCCCTTTCTCTTCCTGTCTTTTTCAGACAGTGTCTGTGAGTTTCATTATGCTACCTTCATGTAACATATGTATGTAACATAATGTAGTGTATATGTACTTCGAACCTCTTCATCCCTCAGTATTCTTTCCTTTCCTTCTCCCACTGATTCTCCCCAACAATGCACCATTTACAAACATGTTCCATTATTACTATCATCATTTTAGGTCTAGGTTCCACAAATGAGTGAGAGTTATGCAATATTTGGCCCTTTGAGCTCGCTTAGCATTATGATCTCTAGTTCTATCCATTTTCCTGCAGATGACATAATTTCATTTTTCCTTAAGGCTGAGTAACTTTCTGTGAGTGTATGAATATGTTTGCATATGTGTGTATATATATACACTCACGTGGATGTGTACATATACATATTTACCCATTCATCAGGTGTTGAGCAACTCTACTGATTCCACAGTTTGGCTATTGTGAATAGAGCTGCAGTAACCATGGGTATGCAGGTATCTCTCTGGTGTACTGATTTACACTCCTTCAGATATACACCAAAGAGTGGTTTGTCAAAGATCAGAAGACTTAGAAACCAGATTTTTAAGATGGTTGCATTTAGTGTAAAATAACAACCAAACTATAGCTACTTCATATTTTAGATTTTAAATACGTATTTACCTACTTAGATTAGTGTAATTAGTGAACATTATTGAAAAAATTGAATAGTTTGTGAGACTGTTGGCAGTTTGTGTAATGTTAGAATTAACTGCTGTTGATTAGATAACCATAAAAACAGTAGAAATTGTTTACGTTTCTATTCAGAATAAGTTTCTATTTTTAAATGTGTCTTTTTCTCATTAAGGAAGCAAGCATGCAAGTGTGCAGAAAAAGTTACTCATTGTTTGATTTATTTTTTATATGCCAAGATTAAAGTACTTTAACAAATGCTTTTCTTTCTTGAGAAGGTTAATTAAAATTATTTGAATTCTTAAAATAATAGCTTGTCAATGTCACTGACTAGCTTTATACATTTGTTTACTTATATGTAGAAGTAAATATTTTGATTTCTTTTAATGTATTAGTAGTTCTAAATTAGAATATGTGCTTGAACTAGATGGCTCAGATCTGTCTTATATCATGATTGTCATTCTTAGGTTACATGAAGTTACTTATTTGTATGTTGAATCTGTTGTTGTGTTTGTGTGTGTGTGTGTGTGTGTCTGTGTGTGTGTCTGTGTGTCTGTGTGTCAGTATTAGGAGTTTAAACTCAAGGTTCTACCACTTGAGCCACATCTCCAGCCCTTTTTGCTTTAAGTTATATTTCAGACATTGTCTCATTTTTGCACTGGTATGTTTTGGAGCATGATCTTCCTACTTTGCTTCCCACATAGCTGGGATTACAGGCATGAACCATCATGCCTGGCTTGTATGTTGGTTCTTTTTTAGGGGACTAGGCATATGATCTGTATGGCATATGATTTGTATCTTAAGAGTCATGTTTGTTTTTTAAATTCCTAAAGCCTTAGCATAGCACCATACATATCAGACACTCAAATGGTGGTTGAAAGCAAAAATGTATTTGATAAATATGTTAGAGTCAGTTTTTCCTACCTGTTTATTGTATGTAGATTTAAATGTGTGGTTTTTTTAATAATCCAAAGGAGGTAAGAGGTAAGTGCATTGTTGTAAAACTTAAACATTAACTTAAACATGAGCACTTGCTAAAAAACTTCTGGCCTTGGTCTTATTTTTCACCTAAAGGAGCCCAATACAGAAATGCTGTCCTATCAATTTATAACTTACACACAGGAATCAGAGATTTGAGAATTACCCTATTCTACCTTGATTTTGTTTTTTTTTTCCAGTTAAAAAGAAGTATTTGGTCTATAGTAAAAATAGCTACCTGCCACAGGCACTTATTTGGAATGACTTAAAGTTTTTGTTTTATCTTATAAATTGTTTAGGTTACATGAATTATTGTTAAGGTTAAAAATTTTTTGAAATAATGGCTAAAGCGGTTCTAACTTTCTGAAATACTTTGTTTTGTACTGGGGTTGAAATTGGAACTCAGGGTCTCATGTTTGCTAGGTAGACACTCTGCCACTTGACCATGGCATTTAGTCCTATATATTTGTAAATATAAATAATTTTTTAAATGTTCCCTCTTTTTTTTTCCTTGTGACAGCATTCTTCTGGTCATGACAGAAGGGAAAACTATAATTCATATCAGAGGAGCTCCTCTCCAGAAGACAGGTAAATTGTTTTATATGTTCTGAGTACAATTTAAATGGCCGTTTGTTAAAAACAATTTGACAGGATGTTTGTTCAGTCACTTAGTTGCTTTAGCATTACCAATTAGTCATTACATGACTTTCCTAAGTATTTATAACATAGTTGTTTCCAATTTACAGCTTTTATTTTCTTATTTTATATGTTAGGTATGCAGAACAAGAAAGATCCCCCCGGGAGAGAGATTACTTTGATTACAGCAGGTCAGACTATGAGCGTTCAAGGAGAGGACATTCTTATGATGGCAGCATGGAATCACGGTGAGTATTGGGAATTTTAATTACAGAAAGGTTACATTTGCTTAAATTTTCTTTTTCTTTACTTTTTGTAATTAACACAACACAAATAGCAACTAGCATCAATTGGATATTCCTAGGTGTTAATTCACTCCTTAATGCTATAAATTTGTGAAGTAGATACTGTTATGCCTGTTTTAACAGCTGAAGAAACTGAGGCCTAGAGAAGTTTAGTAATTTATTTGTAATCTTGAAAGCTATCAGCAGAAAGACTAGACTTGTTGACCTAGTGCCCAAGCTTTTATTCAGTATGTTACTGACAGGTTGCTTTATGAGACTTTTATTTTTGGAGATTGTTTACAAAATGAAAGAAATTTATATTATGAAGCTGCTCGTTTGTAGGTGTTTTTTTTTTTTCTCTGTAAATGTAAATGAGTTTTACTTGACTCTTCTGGAGAACCTGGTTGCCCAGTTGTTCTAGTCAATAGTATCTACAAGAGCCAACATTTTAGAGTTCCCTTTAGAAATCTTACTAAAGGGCTCTATATTTGCTCAAGATAAAGCATGTAATGGATAAAAAGTTTACTTAAGGCATCTGCAGAAAGAAATCCCCAGCTAGAAGTAATGGAAACTATAAAGGAAATAGCTGGGGATGCTTAGTGTAGGGGAAAGAGGTTAACTAGAATTCTACAGGAGATGAAAATATTCCCAGCTGCTTTAAACAGTAATCACCATATGGATAGTACTTTGTTAACTTGCATGTGTCCATGTTTACAAGAGAAGAAATGATGCAGACAATTTACTACTTGCTTGTAATTGGCTTTGGAATGTCCATAATTTAACCTTTTTCATGAAGCAGTGTTGCATAGCTAAAAGAGAATAGATTTCACATCCATACAGATTAGAGTTCAGACTTTAGTTACTAAAAATTACACTCATTTGGTAAAGTATCCTACTAACTTCCTGCTGAATCCCAATTTCCTTCGTCTTTGAAATTAATGTGATGACGTGTTTTGTCTGATGTTTTAAGTTTAAAATCGGTCCTACCACCATGTCTAAGCATAGTAAATATGCAGAAAATTATAATTTTTAATGTGTATTTTTTTCCACATACCTGGTTTTAAGCTAATGATTAGCAATGAACCAATGGCATGTTGAATATCATAGTAAATATTAGAAGAATTCAAATTTCCTAAAGTACATACATACATACATATGTATGTATTTTGGTTTTGTTTCATTTTGTTTTTTCCTTGGGTAGTGGCTTTGTGGTTTGAACTCAGGGCCTCACACTTGCTAAACAAGTGCTGTCTCTGCCACCTGAGCCACACCTCTAGCCCTTGATTGTACGTTTAATTAATCTGACAAAACTAACAAATTCTGTTATTTTTGTATTCTATGAAGAAGCTGTAGTCTGTCTCTTTAAGTTCTGTTTCTCTCCAACAGTTTCCATTGTCCCTTTGTAGGAATTGATCTTTATCATTTTTCATAAAACCAGCTATTCTGATTTTCCTCTTTGCTTTTATTAATCACCCAGTTTGAATAACTTGTTCCCCATATTTTATTGCTCACTAAAGTCCTTTTTTGATATTTCTTACCTTATATACCCCACTACCACCAAAACTAATCCTCTCACTGGTGTAATTAAATTCTTCTGTGGTTTGGAGCTAAGTACATGTTTCTATTTTTCTATTATCTACAGAAAAAATTTCCTCCTCAGTACATTCTAATATATAACTAATCTTAAAATGTCAGATTAAATTAGTCACCAAAAGCCAGACTCATCAGCTGTTGCCTTAATGACACCTTTATAAAAACAATTACTACCACTCAAAGGGTAAGCTAAGCATTTTGCATACTTTTCTCCATACTATCAAAACTCATATAAGCTAAATAATTATTTACAAGTAAGAAAATGGGTTTGAGGTGATTAACCTGAGATTTGTAGATTGATCTCAATTCTGACTCCAACACTGGTTTTTTCACAATCCCTAACTGTACTACTTCAATACAATTTTTGGTCCAGTGTAGGAGTGTAAGTCTAATGTGATTCACATCATGAAGCATGCAGAATAGGTATTATGTAGAACATAAAGGCTAATAGTCCAGAAACATTTAACAACAAATGCTTCTAATTAGACTCTAACTATAATATTCCTTCTGCACTATACAAGAGCAAACACAGTAATTGTGGGGATGTGATTTTTGTCAGACAGCTAGCTGTCTCATCTGATGTTTTCAGAAGAATCATAACCAGTGTCAGTAACTGCTTGTTATAGCTACTTTTACAAATCAGTGGGTAAAAGTTGGAGTATGTGCCTTTATGACTAGTTGGGAATTATACTTGGGGCCACTTTTTTCTCCTCTGTTCACTGTGTCTTAGTGTACAGAGTCTGTTCTCATTGACAGTCACTCAGGTCTCTTATTCTTCAGTTTCCAAATTATCCCTTCACAGCTGCTTGGGCAAGTAACTGCTTTTCTCTATCCATGTAAGGGGAATTATTATATTTTAAAACATGTCTTTGTTAACTTACCCTTTAGATTTTGCCAAAATCCATAGGTTTCTAGTGATGCAGTGTTAATATGAAACTTACTTTCATTTATTTTGTCTATATAATTATAGACAAATGAGCAGAATGATCAGAGTTTTCAAAACAATGTATAAAAATATCTAAGTGGACAAACTGTTATCTAGGAAAAGATAGCAAAAAGTGAGGACTTCCTTTCCAATAGTTCTTGATAGTTTCAGAGAACAATATCATTGTTTGAAAGGGTTAGTTTAAGAAAGGATAATCAGCTTCATTAAAGGGATGAGTAAATATGACTAGAAAAATATTTTTCACATCGTCTCAACCATGATCTGTTGAGATTTCTAATAAAAATGTCAATTCTGTCAAGAAACATTTTCAAATACTATATTTTATAGCACTCTTACAACTAAAATTGCCATTGGAAATAAACTCCGGTAACTCATTTATGTACTTTTATCATATATATCATGGGCCCATTTGTCTTCTTTTAAGCATTATTATCATGTCACTCTCTTAGAAACTTTTAATGATCCCCCATTATCTTTAGTATAAAAACTTAAAATCTATTGGTTGTCTTTTAAGATTTCACAGTCTTTACTCAAGTTCATCTTTCCAGCATCTGTCATACATGATTCTTTATTGTTTCCTGATTTACTCATTCTGACTTCACTACCATGCTTTTTCACTAATTATTCCCTCTTGTACTAGTTGCAGAATGCCATCCTCCATCCTCCATCCTCCATCTTCCTCCCCAGCTCCCAGGCTGAATTCTGTAAAGCCATTGAGTCCTAACATAAGTTCCTTTTTTTTCCATGAAACACTACCTCACCATCCTAAACCACTTTGCAAAGTCTGAATTTGGAGGACTCACTTATGTTCTCACCCATTTGGTATATAGTTCATTGTAAGAATGATTTTATGATGTCTTTTCTCTTCACTAAAAAAATTAATGTTATAGAAGCAGAGACCGAGAAATACGCAGAGAAAGAGAACGAGACAGAGAAAAAGATACGGATTGGAAAAGATCCCGGAAATCCCCATCTCCTGGGAGAAGAAGCCCAGAATCTTCAGTAGCCCAGAGTTCTCAGGACGAACCTGCTGCAAAAAAGAAGAAAGATGAGCTGGATCCTCTCCTTACTCGTACTGGTGGAGCATATATTCCTCCTGCAAAGCTCAGGATGATGCAAGAACAGATTACAGACAAAAACAGGCATGTTGATATATTAAGTCTACAAGGCAATAACATCCTCATTGTAAATACATCATGTACACTTGTCTACAATGATAGAGACCTCAAATTTAGAGACCTCTGTTCTTCTTTAGACACTCCATTGGAGTGCTGTGTAATACTTGCCCTGACATTGACTCATTTCTTTTTAAATTTTGTTTTGCACAAATGAATTTCAAAAACATGATGGTGTACATGTTTTATACATAGCTAAGACTGCTATCAATATTTTAGATGTAAAAAATGGCTCCTTTCCAGTTCTAAACCAGAGGTTAGCACAGTTTTTCTGTCAAAGGCCACATTAGAACTATTTTAGGCTGTGGCTCATTCTGGCTGTGTTGAAGCCACTTAACTGCACCATTGTAGTGTGAAAACAGTCATAGATAATACATAAATAAGTAGGTGTCATGTCTCCCAGTATTTACAAAAAGAGGTGGTGGGCTACATTTGAAAAGGAATTTGGAGATGGCTTCTATTAGTAGAGGCTTCATAATCATCTAGGATAGATATGATCATCTATATAATTTGCCAACCCTATTTTAATGTAAAAAACTGAAATGGTAATTTTCTTTTTCCTTTTTCTCTGGACTGTAACATTTTAGCCTACCTTTTTGCTACTGTAAAACAAGCAAAATTGAACATTCATATTGAAAGTATCTTCCCTTTTCAAAGTAATTGGGGTGGGGAGAAACTGTTTGGGAAATTGCAACTAAATTATCAAAGGCTTTTTCTCTAGTGGATTGAGATGATAACTAGGAAAAGTGTGGTCCAGATTGAATGGTGGTAACTCAGTTGCCAGGTAGGTAGTAAAAAAATTAAAATTGGATAGAAAGTAGCTACACTTTAAGAAAAACAGATTTGAGATGAGACAAGGAGGATTATTCTCACATCTTTTCATGGGTTTTTGTTTTGTTTAGATATGGAGACAGGGTTCTCATGTTGCCCAGGTTAGTCTCCATTCACTGTTCTCTCATCTCACTCTCTGGAGTGCTGGGATTACAGATTTTTGGCACCTGCCCCACTTCATCGGTGTTTCAATGGTAAATTGAAAGTATTTGAGAACTTTTATAAATGAAGTTTAGATTGTTTCAAGAATTAATTTAAATAGAAATGAAATGCAAAATAAGCTAAAGATTTGAAATAAATTTACAAGTATCCCAAGTAGAAAGGGACATTAGATGACATGGAATTCCAGACAAAAAGTTTTTCTTTCTGTGTCATTCTTGGGCTTGGTAGTGATATTTGGAGTGTTTTATTGAGAACAAATTTAGAGGTGGCTTCTGTTAGTGGGTACTTCATGATCATCCCAGTGTTCTCTTTTTACAGTAGGCATAAGTGACAGCATTAGTGAGAAGTATTCTTTCTCAAATCCAACCCGAAGCACTTTGTCCTAACTATAAAAACCAGAAACATTGTTAATCTCAGTCTTGCTTCCTTGAAAGTAAAGTAGGCAAGAAGAGAGTCAGCAATATATGCAATTTTAAGCAGATTCCTGGAGGATAATTTTATATACAGAAGGTTGTTCATAGGCTGAAAAGGACATAAGGAGAAATAAATGTCTATAAGAGAAGTCTGTAGTTACCACCTTAAATAGATACTTTATTGAGTGAATTGAAGCATTCTTATTAGGCTTATCAAACTTGATACAGTCTTTTGATCAGGAGAAATTATGGCTATATATCAGCAATATCTTATTTATTAGACTAGATGTTAAGTCACAGATGTTATTTCTCTAGAGATGGTAACATATCAAAGAGTTTGAGTTGTGGGACAGTGGGAGTAGCCCACCTTAGACGCAGGCAGTAAGGGGCTAGTTGTATGATACCTAGAGAGTGATAGAGAGCTTGCCTAGCATGAGCAAAGCCCTGGGTTTGACCCCCATTACTACAGAAAGTAAATAAAGGCAAGTCAGTCTGCCTTTTATCTTCACTGTCTACCTACATTTTAAACAATGTTAGTGATACAATACTTTTACCTTCTAAGCACTGCTCTTACCACCCTACCTTGGCATACTACTCCAAGCAGGTATTTTTAACCTATAGACTTTCAAAAAGTCCATAGAATATCTATCTACAATAGAATTCAGATCATTCCACCCCATGTGGCTGGGGGGTAAAGAGGACAAACTGCATTTGACTTTTTATTAATCTCTAAATAAAATTTAACATTTCTTTCTATTGATAAATGTATAATGTTATTAGGCCTACTGCTATTTCTTTAATGTGTTGAGAAGCTCTTGGATACTATAATCAAACATGTTCTTTTCATGTTTTGAAGACTGTTTCAATATCTTTTGTAATCCTGTGTATTGTACATATTTCAAGAAGTCCACTGGCTTTAGTAGACTTCCAGAGAGGTATAAGAAAAAAAGTTGAGAGTTCCTGCAGCTGAAATCAAATTCCACAGAGAAACAATTATAAAAACCATAGAATTTTGTATGTTTAAACTTAAAAGACATTAGACAGTATCAAGTTCACCATAAAGAAACTCACTGAGGCCAAATACCAAAATCTAAGTTAAAAACAGTTCAGCCATCTAACATTCATCTGCTACAGTAGTAGGAATACTGCATTAACAGAAGTGGTCTTTAAAATACATAAAATAATATTTCAACCTCAAGATTCTATGTGACTCACTTTTTTATGTAATTAGTACTATTTTTGTTTTATTTTTTGACATTTCCATTTTATTCAAATCACATTTGTTTTCCATCAAAGTGTTTTGTTTTCTAGCTCATTATTATCATTTCAATTATTTAGAAATGGAAACATCAGGCAGTTTAAGAGATTAAATAACTAGACTTTCTAGAGCTAAATATAAATGAGCATATGTTGTTTATCATAGTTGAACACATTTTGTTGTTTTCTTTTATAAGAAAAGTCATAATAAGAATTTCCTTTGGTGACATTTGGATGCTTATAATTTTTTTTTAATTGAAGTTATTTTAAAAGTCTTCCATTAATGACATATGAAGCGTTATAATGCAAAGTAAGCATGTATCGATTCTGACTAATAGATGGTTTAAGTCACAATACACATGGGGCATGAGAACAAAACATCCTTGTATGTTCTTATATTAAATTACTTTCTGTTACTGAAGGGAAATGGTTTGTACCTCAGTATTACATATATAGTAAATCAAATTGGCTTAATGTAATCTATTTATTCTTATAAGCATCATACATTCTGTATTTTAGAGTCATTTTGTGAAAATAATGTTCAAAATAAAATACTAAGTACTGTGTTTTTACTGTAGCTCTTTTATAATTGTTGGCAAAGTTTTAATCTTCGTTGAAATCAATTCTGTTTAGCTTAGCATACCAAAGGATGAGCTGGGAGGCCCTAAAGAAGTCAATCAATGGTCTTATCAACAAAGTCAACATTTCCAATATAAAGATTATTATTCAGGAGCTTCTTCAAGAAAATATAGTTAGAGGAAGGTAAGTATTAGCCATTCTATTTGTAGAATCTCATAATTTTTTCAAAGAAGCATGATACCTCAATGAGCAGTAATCTTGATTTATTATACTTCCTCATTTTTAAGGTAATTGAGAATGTTTATTTGAAATGTAGTTCTTATAAAAACATAGGTTACTAAGAAATACCTAGTACCTCACTGTGAACAGTTTTATGGAGTTCTTTCTTTTTGAGAAGCTTTGATACCACCTAATGATTTTTTTCACCATTTGTTTACCAAATGTCTCCAATAATTTAAGTCTGTGGGGAATGATGGCTATTAAAATATGCTACCTCAAATCAATTTAATTTCCTTAAATTTATTTTTTAGTTGACAGATAATATATTTGTGATGAACAGCATGATGTTTTGATATATGTTGTACTTTGTGGAATGGTTAAATCGACCTATTTATGTATATGCATTACCTCAAATACCATTTTTTATAGTGAGAACACTGTAGTTTTCAGCTGTATATGCTATTAATTATAACCTCCATGATATACAATAGAGCTCTTGAATTTGTTCTTGTCTAACCAAAATTTTGTATCTGTTGACAGTATCTCCTTTATTCCCCTACCCCCATCCTCTGATAACCACCATTTTATTCTATTCCTGTGAGCTCAGAATTTTTAGATTTTTTAGATTTTCAGAAGTTTTAGAATTTTTAGATACAAGTGAATTCACATGCTGTTTGTCTCTGTGTCTGACTTATTTCTTAACATAATATCCTCCAGATCTATCCTTATTGTCAAAAATGACAGAATTTCCTTCTTTCTTAAAGTTTCCATTGTGTTGTCTATCAATGGACACAGATTGTCCCATTTAGGCTATGGTGAATAATGCTACATTGAATATGAGAGTAGAGATACATCTGACGTAGTGTTTGGATGTATATCTGGTAGTGGGGTTGCTGATTTATATGGTCGTTTTATATTTAATTTTTTCAGAGAACCTCCTTACTGTTTTCCATACTAACCTAACTAATCTATGTTCCAACTGGCAATGTACAGTGTTCCCTTTTTTCTACACCTTTAGTAGTACTTTCGTCTTTTTCATATAACAGCCATTCTACAGATGTGAGATGATATTTCATTGGGGTCTTAATTTGCATTTCTCTTATGGTAGTTGAGGTTGAGCATTTTTTTCATATACTTGTTAGCTATGTGTGTGTTCTTGCAAAGTGTCTGTTCTGGTCCTTTGCCAGTTTTTAAAATTGGTTTTAAGGTTTTTACTTTTTCTGTTGACTATTGACTATTTTAAGTTCCTTATATTTTGGATATTAACCCTCTTAGCAGAGGTACACTTGCAGATATTTTCAAACATTCAGTAAGTTATTGTTTGAGTCTGTTGATTTTCTCCTTCCCTGTGCAAAAGCTTTTTAGATAGATGCAATCCCAATATCTGTTTTTGCTTTTGCTTCCTATGTTTTTGGAGTCATATCCAAAAACTTATTACCCAGACCAGTGTCTCAGAGCAGTCCCGCTAATAATTTTATGGTTTCCATTCTTACATTTAAGTCTTTAAACCATTATGAGTTGATTTTTTAAATATGTGGTATGAGATCAGGATCTGCTTTTCTTCTTCTGCACTTTGAGTCTAGTTTTCCTGATCCCATCTATTGATGGTACTATAGCTTTGTAGTAGATTTTAAAATCAGATAGTGTCTTGCCTCTGGCTTTGTTCTGTTCGCTAAAGTTTTTCTTGTGGTTTTTTTTTTGTTTTTTGTTTTTTTGCTATATTGGGGTCTTTTATGGTTCAATAAGAATTTTAGGACTTTTTTTTTTCCCGTTTCCATGTAAAACGTAATTGAAAATTTGATTGGGTTTGCATTGAATTTCTAGGGTCACTTTGGGTAGTATAGATATCTTCACAGTATTATATCAGTCCATGAAACATGGATTCTCTTCCCATTTTTTTCGTGTCTTTAATATCTTTCATCAATGGGGCATAGTTTTCAATGTACACATCTTTTACTTCTTCCTAAGGGCTTTTTGTTACTGCTTTTTTTCGCTTTTGATAACTATTGTAAATAAGGTTTTTTAAAAATTTCTTTTTCAGATCATTTGTTGTTAGCATATGGAATATGAAAACACTACCAGTTTTTTAATATTGTTTTGTATCCAGCAAATTTACTGAATTCATTTACTCCAACCTTTTTTTGGTGGAGTCCATAGGGTTTTCTGTATATGAGATTATATTGTACAACAGAGACACTGTAACTTCTTTTAGTCAGATTTGAAGGCCTTGTATTTATTTTTCTTGCCTAATTATTCTGTCTAAGATTTCTAGTAGTTGAAGAGAAGTCATGAAGAGGGGGCATCCCTGTTTTGTTCCTGATCTGAGAAGCTTTCAGCTTTCCATCATTGAGTCTAAGTTAGCTATAGGCTTCTCAGGTACCTTTTATTTTCCTGTCAGTGACATAGCATCAGTCTTGAAGTGCTTTGGTTGTGTCTTTTTCTCTTGTAGGATTATTCCACATCTTCATTTTTATTTCACTGGACTTAGACCTACAGATAGAAATAACCCTAATTTGTTTTCAGTTACAAAATTGTTTTTATATAAATGATGAAGCCATAGTAGAAGCTGTACGTTGTCTAAATTTTGTAGTTTATAAGCAAGTTTTATATTCACTTCTTTGAAAATGGTAAATTATTTTTTATGAACTTTAAAATCTTCAAATTTATGATAAGCTATAATAGAAGGAAGAAAAGAGGAATTATATTTAGAGAATAAATTTTAAAAACCACATTGTAATAATACCTCATTCTGTTTATTGTTTGTTCCATTTTTGAGTCAGAGTCTTCCTGTGTAACCCACGCTGCCTCAAACTCACTGTGTAGCCTGGTCTGGCCTGAAACAATCCTCTTGCTTCTAACTCCTGGGTGCTGGGATTATAGGTGTGTACCACACCACACCCGGATTATCTCATTCTGTTATACAGAAGCACAAATTCAAGTTTGGTTTTCTTAAAAACTTTTTTTTTTAATTAGTAAGAGTAACCCTTTTTCTAGATAATGTGGTGAAAATTTAGTCCTACTTCGGCTTTTACAATTATTTTGTTGAGACAAACAGCCAGTAATATCCCAGGCTGACCTCAAACTCTTTTTTTTTGCTTTTTGTTTTTAGTACTAGGGTTTGAACTCAGGGACTTGTGCTTGCTAGGCAGGTGTGCTACCATTTGAGCCACACTCCCAGCCCACTTTTATGATTATTTATAGAGGAATAATACTAGGTTTTAAGTATTTTTCCTAATTCAGTTGATTATTTTTGACTCCTTGTTTTTATTCTTTTATAAACAGAGGACTGCTGTCTAGGTCTGTTTTGCAAGCTCAGAGTGCTTCTCCAATCTTCACCCATGTTTATGCAGCATTGGTGGCAATTATCAACTCAAAATTTCCACAAATTGGAGAATTAATCCTCAAGAGGTTAATTCTTAATTTTCGAAAAGGCTATCGAAGAAATGATAAGGTATATATTAATGGCTTGTGGGCTGTCACATAGGGACAGACCAATAAGCCAGTATCAACAAAATTAAACAATGCTAATTTTTGCATTAGAATACTTTTTAAAAACTACTTCATGAGAACTGGATTTTACTAAGGTTTACCTCAGATGTAGCCCAGGCTGGCACTAAAGATGAGCCAGAAAAGTGATGACTATAACTGTAGACTTAAAACTATTTAGCCAGTAATGGCACTGTTTATCCTCGTGTGTTACTTATTTTAAGAGTGTGTTAGAAGGCTATAGATCCTACAGACACATGAAAATTGGCTTTAGTTTTTGGATTGACTTTGTCTCTACTTTCACTTTTCAGCAACTTTGTCTTACTGCCTCAAAATTTGTGGCACATCTTATTAACCAAAATGTGGTAAGTTAATTATCTTCAAAACTTTTCCTGTAGTGGCCACATGTATGGCTTAATGCCACTGGGTCAGTGATACATTTCTGTTTTGTTTTTGATTTATAAACTGAGGTAACTACCTCGGATGAAACTTTAATTTTAAAAACTGTAATAAATGTGCACAGTTTTTTACTATAATGAGAAATCAGAATACTTTTAGGTATTTTCTCAGATTGGTTTAACTTAATATTGTATATGGCTACTTGACCTCAAATTATTTATCTAAAGAATCTAATCCTTTTGCTTTTAAAATCAAAGGTTCGTATCTCCTCCACTCCTTTGTCTGTGCCTGGTGTTCATGAAAATATTCGGTATTCTAACCAAAATCTCTAATCCCTGCTAATACATAGTTAATAGGTATATAAATTTTTTGTTTTGGGGGATTGAACTCAGAGCCTTGCATATACTGGGCAAGGGCTATACCACTGAGCACTTGATATTTTGAAGGGTCTCACTGTGTAGGTTAGGCTGACCTCGAACTCACTAGGTAGCCCAGGCTGGCATCAAACTCGATTCCCCTGCCTCTACCTCCAGAGTGCTGAGATTACAGGCACACATCAGAATGCCCATCTTATATTATCATATCCAATGTCATGTATGTATGTGAGGAAAAGTTTTAAAATTATACTTATTATTTCTCTAATATTGAACAATATTTTAATTCTTACCTCTGAAGTTTATTTCCAGTGTGTACTCTTAGAAATGTGTTAGATTTTAAACTAGTCACTATGATGACAATTACTATAATCATAATTTGCTGCTCAGGCTCAGGGAAACTCAGTATCACGTGTCTGTAACAACAGAGATATGTTTCTGGTTTTGAATGTGTGTTACACCTATATTGGAGATTTAATATTGCTACAAAGCAGTTAAAATTCTCACCTTCCCAACTAGGCACATGTCATTATTTTCTTGTCACTTATGTAAGGCTATTTAGCACCCTCCTCCCCTCCCCCCCCACCCCCGCACACACACACCTAAAAAAAAAAAAAGAGGATCTTTTTTGATCTTGTACACAGGGTGTAGAGAATTTTCTCCTGAGTTGAAATTCTGACTTCTTGCCTTCCCATCTCAAAAAGTATCTGACTTAAGAAGGTATATAAGGATGGTACTTTGAATATTCTTTGTAGTTCATTTTCTTCTCACAGGAAAACATCTTAGTGCATTTTTACTGCCACTGTAACTGACACTGTTAATAAATATGTTTTGAACATAACCTGTGTAAATAGTTTATCTTAATTTACAAAAGAGGAACTATTACAAGGACTAGTTGCTATTTGAGAGTTGCTTATAGAATGTATTGGGAATTGGATATAAAAAGTTGTTACTGAAAAGGATATTATAGAAGGAATTATATCACTATTCCCTATATAATGATTATAAAAATAATTATTAAAAATTAGTACAAGAAGCCAGGTGTGGAAATCATGCCTATAATCCCAGCACTCAGAGTCTGGGGCAAGAGCATCATAAGTTCAGACTGCATAGTGAGTTTGAGGCCAACCTGGGCTGCATGAGATGCTGTCTCAAAAAAAAAGCTCATGATTTTTGATATACAGTTTGACTTTATCTTGTATTTTCTGTACATAATGGCTAAGATGAATATTTCTTCTAGAATTAACTTAAGTAGTTGTAAGTTAAGATTTGGGAATGATCATTTGTAAATTCTTAATAGATTCATAATGAAAGTGACAGGAAAACTATCATACAGTATAATCATTATAGAAAATATTTACTAATTTTTTAAAAATTATCAACACCAGGTTAATATCTAAAAGCATTTTCTCTTCCACGCGTTCTGTTTAGGCACATGAAGTTCTGTGCTTAGAGATGCTCACTTTGCTCCTGGAAAGGCCAACAGATGATAGTGTTGAAGTAGCCATTGGTTTTCTTAAGGAATGTGGCCTCAAATTAACACAAGTGTCACCAAGAGGAATCAATGGTAAGTATATATCCTTGATTTACATATTCTTATTTTTTTATTTTACTATTACAACATTTATTACTTGTTTCATTGTCTTTTTCTTTCTGTCTTTAGCTATCTTTGAACGCCTTCGAAACATTCTGCATGAGTCTGAAATTGACAAAAGAGTTCAGTATATGATTGAAGTGATGTTTGCCGTACGGAAGGATGGATTCAAGGACCACCCTGTTATCCTAGACGGACTTGATTTAGTTGAAGAAGATGATCAGTTTACCCACATGCTCCCTTTGGAGGATGAGTATAATCCAGAAGATGTTCTTAGTAAGTCTGGGGGTGGGAGATGGAACTAGGGCACCAAAAAATATAAATACAGAAAATAACACTTAACTTTTATTTTTTAAGATGTTTTCAAGATGGATCCTAACTTTATGGAGAATGAAGAGAAGTACAAAGCTATTAAGAAAGGTATGTAAAATTTTACAAAATAGTTTGTTTTGAAATGTAGAAGCAATGTAGATACTTATGTAATATTGGTAGAAAGGAATATTTATTTATCACTGATCTTCATTGACTAAAATGTGTGCTCTTCACTGCATTCCCATGTATTACTCATTCTGAGTTATTTACTCCATTGTTCCTCTTTTTCCCCATTTAAGATATGCAACCCTTAAATCTCACCCTTAAGAAGTATTCATAGATGACCAATAGTCTATCTAACTTTTTTACCACTTTGAGTCATTGCCATCCAGTTGATGCTCAGTTAAGTAATATGTTTATTGTAAAGTGCTGTAACTTGTTATCTCTTGATGAGAGATTGATATCTTTCTGATAACATTGATCACATGCTAGTTCCTGATAAACCATAATTGATAATCACTATTCGTACATCATTAGGTATAGTAATTTTGGACAGATTTTGGTTTGTGTTTTGTCTTTGACATTAACTAGCTAAGTGGCCTGGAACAAACTACATTTTTGATAAAAGAATAAATGTTACTTGTTATTGGAAGAATAAATACATAAAGTATTTTGTGTGTGCTTTGTATTGCCACAGGTCAAGTATTCAGAAAATGCTATTACTATTCATATTATTATATTTTTGTTATTTTTCTCCTAAAGCTAATATCCAGGTCTACTTCTGTAGTAGTTTTTGGGTTTTTTCCCCTAGAGTTGGGATTTTTTTCTGAGAAGTAGTTAGTTCTGTGGAACTTCTGAGAGGAGAGGGAAGACCCATCAAACTCTGTCTCTACCTCCATTTTGTGTTTTAGTTGTGTTTAGTAAAGGAAAGAAAAGTGTAAAAAGCCTTCCATTTCTATACAGTGTCCTAAAAATCTGGTATGATAAATGGTTTCTCTTTTTCATTTTTGATCTCTTGGGAGCTTTTCACTGCATTGGCCAGATTCCTTTGTCTGTTATTCCATTCCAAACATAGACAACTTCTTAAATCTATTGCCTTCTTTTCTTATGAACTTCCTTTTCCTACAGTCTCCCTAAAAGGTGCCAAGTAGTTTTTCTGAAATTATTATGCCTGGTATGATTTCTTTCTTTTTTAAACTTGGGAGTTTCCTGTCTGTTTCATTAGGGTCTAGGTGTTTGGCCATACCTAGAAATACAGAGCTTTTCCTTTATTATATCAATCTTAAATTCTTTTGTCTCAGGATCCCCTACATTCTTGAAAATTATTATTGACTCCACAGAGCTTCTGTTTATGTGTTCTATCTATTGGTATTTACTATGCTAGAAATAAAACCTGAGAACATAAAAGAATACTTAATGTTAACTCATTTCAAAATAATAAAACTGGTACATGATATAAACTACAGATTTTTATGAAAGTATTTACTTTAGAAAACAAATTTATATATAATTTATATAATGAGGAGAATCGCATATTTATTTTGTAAATTAATGTCTGGCCTAATAGAAAATAGGTAGCTACTCCTTATCTGTTTCTATGTTCATTCTGTTGCAATTCACTGTCCAGTGTCACATAGATACATTGGTAGGAAAGAGAGGAGTGTACCTTTTTAGATAAGAACATGTACTTTCCTTTATTCTGTGCCAATATTTAACAATTAATAGTTGCTTAAAGATTAATTTGAATTTGAAATCTTAAATGGTATCAATGAACTTTCATACTGTTACCTTTAAATCCAGTGGTATGTCACTTTCAGTGGATTAAGCCATGCATTTTATAACATGTTGCATTGATCATTTGTAAAATAGTGACTTGCTGAGTTATGCACATCTTCTAAATGTTTATATATGAGCATTATCAAAATCAATTTAACATGTTAATATAGTATCAAGAAATCACATTTGTTAATACTGCTCTTACCTTCTCAGCAGAGTCCAAGTTTGGGAAACTGTCAAGCTCAGAGGAATAATAGATGGATATAGGTTTTCCAAAAATCAAATTTTCTCTTGAAAATTTGAATTTTATCATGATGCAAATAGTTGTGTTCCTTGAAATGACAGTCTTTCTTTGTATTTGTGAAAATGCCTACCAAATACCTATATCCCAGCAATCTATATACCAGTTATAGATTGCTGGCCATTTCAGTCCAAGTAAAAATGAATAAAAAGCAGCTGTTTTTCTTGTAGTTCAGGTAGTTACAGCAGAGCTGACCTTGAGATAACCACCACCACTGCACAATCCACTTTCAATAGAAGTTTTACATATTTGAACTTCATATTTTGTCACTCAGATTATGACAAAGGCCTATATTCAAGGACTGCAGTTTAATAAAATTAATGTTTTATGTGTTCATCAAGGACTTTTTAAAGTGAAATAGGCTTTTTTTTCCGTACTGCGTGACTATAAAGAATGCATGGACTACTAGTGCAATTCAGTGCCTCAATTTATGCTTGAATTACAGCAGTTTTAACCAGCATTGTTTTTGAACATCATAGTTACCAGCACAGCACAAAAGGCAGATAATATCTTAGTATTGTGAAAATAGTTTTGACCTAACAAACCACCAGACAGATCTCAGGATCCCCAACAGACTCCTAGACTATTCTTTGTGGGGTTTTTTTTTTTGAGGTGGGGGGGACGGGCATTATTGGGCGTTTGAACTCAGAACCTCATGCTTGCTAGGCAGGCCCTCTACCACCTGAGCCACTCTGCAAATCCCCTAGACTATTCTTTTAAACCACTGCTATACTCATTTAATGAAGTTCAGTTGTGATTACCTGATTTCAATGAGTAGATTCTAAAGTAGAGAGAGAAGCAGAAGATGATGTAAACTATTAGATAATTCATTTGACCTTCATTCTTTAGTAAAATGTTCTTCTAGAACTAACATTCAAAAACCAGCCACAGCAGGAAGTGAGCACAGCTTTAGTAATTAGCACCTTAGAGTGATCCAGGTGTACTTAGGTTTTAGATTATACAGCATTTGGGAAAACAGTAGTAGTGCCTGTCTTCCTATTATGAATACTAAATAAGTTTGTTCTTTTAAAAGTCTGTCTGAGCTGTGTTGCATAATAAACTAGACTTATATTTATCAAAGTCACATTTGTTGGAAATAATCAGATACGGGCCGAATGACAACTCCAAAATTTTGTAAAAAAATGATTTGTTCCTTACAGTATGACATTCTCTGTTAACATTAAATAAATATGTGACTCCTGATTTATATGGTACTTAAATACAAAGAAACTAGAATTTTCCTAAAAATCCATTGATTCTAAAACTTGGTATTATAAGCTTACTAAAAATAGAAATAGAAGTGTTGACCAGGTTTGCAAAATCTTTTGTCAAGCTAACGGCAATGTTGGGCAAAGTATAATTTTAGCCTCCATCATTTGTTTTCTATTAATATAATGATTGACTTTATATAGTCCATTAGGTACATCACGCTTTTGTATGAGTTGTATTTTATGAAATGCTCCAATAAAGTGATTATATTACCAATTTTCTTAAAGGATTTTAAACTTCTGGTTTTGTTTGTTTGTTTGTTTTTTGTTTTTGGTGGTACTGAGGTTAGAACTCAGGGCATCACACTTGCTAAGGCCGGCACTCTACCACTTAAACAATGGCCCAGCCCCATAAAAAGCTTCAGATAAATTGTAATGTTCAATTTGCCAAGTGTACATTTTAATAAAAATCTCATTACAATTTATTTAAAGTGAACACTAAATTTTGGACTTATTTCCTTCTCTTTGCCTTTCCAAGTGCATTTTACCCTAAATTCTTGTTTTCTACATCTGGCCTTAGCTTTTCATAATAGACTGAGACAGTGTTTTTGCTCTTATATGCTAGCTTCTAGTTTTGTTTTTTTTTCCCCAGTGCTCTCATTCAGAAAAATCTTTATCTACTTTTTCTTTGTTCTTCTCATCTCCTTGGCATTTGGCCATTTTTCTATGGCAGAAGAATGATACATAGTAAAATCAGTTTTAGTGCTTTTTTAACATCCAGGTAATAACATGAAGCTTGTAATCATCCTTGCTGGATGATCCTTGTTACAACACTGGATTTCAGTGAACTGAAACATAATTCAGAGAGTTACCTTCTCAGAATGAAATACATCTATCTTGCTCATTATTTTATTTTATTTTTTTTCTTAAACTTACTCTGCCTTATAGAAATACTTGATGAAGGAGACAGTGATTCAAACACAGACCAAGATGCTGGAAGTAGTGACGAGGAGGAGGAGGAAGAAGAAGAAGAAGAAGATGGGGAAGAAAATGAAGAAGGTAAATCTTATTCAAATAATAGTATAAATGCTCTAGAATTAAATTATTTCTAAAGTTTTTAATCTATTGGGAGACAGAGGAATGCTACATGTATCAGACTAGAGATACTGTTAAATGTCCTACAACATAAGTCTACACCTAACAACAAAATACTGTCAGCCCCAGGAAGCAAGCTTTATTTGTCATGAGTTTTTGTTGTTGTAGTTATCAGTGCTGGGGATTGAACCTGGGGCCTTGCACTTGCTAGGCAAGCCTCTACCTCTTGAGCTACTCTATTATCAGTATACTTTTAATTTGACATTTTAAGCCTATAAAAAAGGTACATTCATGTTAAGTGCATGTGATTTATATAACTCTGGAATGAATGTGACAGATGTGAATGACTAGGTATTTGCTATTCATTTTGGCAAAATAAGAGTGGGGAGGTCAAAAGCTATATTTATACAGAAGGAGGCATGATGTTCTTCTTCAGTTTTGATTACATCATTTCACAGAAAAATAAGCTCATAACTTTACTTCTGTTAAATATCAGAACATACATAAACTGGTCCTTATTTACAGGTAATGCACATTTAACATATTAAAAGTGTATCTTTCTTTTTTAGGATATAGTGTGTTTTAGTTCTGCCTTATAGTGAAATTGTTGTTCTGTAATATATTTTATATAATAGGTTTACTTCTTTTCCAGTGTCTCCTTAAAATCCTCTATTCATGTACTACGTTTTACTTTAGAATTCCTTTGTTTTATATGGAAATACTGCTGACATAAAAGCAAATAGTATAAGGAAAGTTTTTTTGACAAAAAAACCCAAAATTTTGACAAATACACATATTTATGTTGGATTCATCCAATCCAGATCGAGTGTGCTCTCAAACTGAATTTCTAAGCTGGGTGCCAGTGGCTCATACCTGTAATCCGAACTACTAAGGAAGCTGATATCTAGAGGATTGCGATTTGAGGCCAGTCTGGCCAAATAGTTTGCAAAACCCCCATCTCCAAAATAAACCAGAGCAAAATGGACTAGAGGTGTGGCTCAAGTAGCACCTGATTTGCAAGTGCAAAGCACTGAGTTCAAACCCCAGCCCATGAAAAAAAATCCTGACTTTCTACCTGTAAGTTACAGTTCATCACATAAGAGCATGAGTAGAGCCTTTTATAGTATCTAAATAAACAAATGATACAAACAAAAATACTTTTTATGGCCTGGTTCTCAATTTTGAACTAAGAAAATGATATTGCAAAAAACTTGAAATAAATGCTATTTTACACAATAGAAAAGAATCTATTGTTACTAAATTCTGAGGGATTCTAAATAGATTTATGGGAAATATTATATAGAGATTCATTTTCATTTCTTCATGTTTTTTTGTTTCATAATAGTTACATTTAATTTCTTTTAGGACAAAAAGTGACTATTCATGACAAAACCGAAATTAATCTTGTCTCATTTCGTCGTACAATATATCTGGCTATCCAGTCAAGGTAAGACATTGTAGCTCAGTCAACCTTTTATTTTTTTAAATTTTTCGATAAGGTATAGTTAAAGAGATCAGGATCAGAGATACAGTTTAGAATCTGGTAACAGAAGACCAGACTCTGTTTAGATACCATTTCAGCATTCTCATACTACTTTACCTGTACCTCTGTCCTTGGCCCACCTGATTGTTCTTTGCTTTAAGGATGAATTAATTATCTGAATTTACTCAAAAGAACTACTTGTGTTGCATAAGTAAGTATTTTTAACTGTCATTTCTCATAGTTAAATATCACTAATGAAATCTTTGCTTTAAGGATGAATTGTCTGAATTTACTCAAAAGAACTACTTGTGTTGCATAAGTAAATATTGTTAACTGTCATTTCTCATAGTTAAATATCACTAATAAAATCCTGAAAGTAACTGTCTTAAAAGCTAAAACAGTATTTAGATATATACTGAAAATGTAATTTTCCCCCTACTTTTGTGATTTTGTGGGTTTTTTTTTTTTTTTTTTTTTTTTTTTTGGTGGTACTGGGATTTGAACTCAGGGGTTCACACTTGCTAAGCAGGCACTCTACCATTTGAGCCACTCCCTCAGCCCCTTATTGTGTCTAATTCTGATTCTTAAGAAGAGAAGCACTGGTTTGATGACTTTAGGACTCTGATTTGCTATTCAGATGTAAATAAATATAAGTGGAATTGGAAATTAGACTTAGGAAGATTTTAAAACAGTATTAAGAGGTACTAGAATGCCATGAAAATAAAACCTGTTTCATTTAAAGGCTATGAGTTGGTTTTAAAAAGCAATACATGAGAATGATAAATGCTTAGTGCATCTGTTATTTTGTATGCAGATCAACCTGTTGATTTAGTGGAACAGTGTTTACATTTTACACTGGAGGAAGATTTTCCTCAGTTTATGTTGCTAGGTTTTATATACCTTCATTTAGTATGATGTAATAAAAATAATGATTCTTAAGTAGGAGTCATCTTGTTTTCAGTCTGTCTTAAAAATTTTGCTTTAGATTCATCTTCAGAAAAAGGAATGTTAAACTGCAGAACATTGGTTAGAAATTTTGGGGGGGTTAACTTTTTTCTTTGCCTTTCACATGGAAAAATATTCAGTATTTTTTTGCATAAAGTAGAAGACAACATATTATTGTTAAAGTTAAATATTTTTATAGTTTGACCTTTCATTCGTTTGTCCTTTTTAAGAAATTCAACAGTAACAAGGTATAGCAGTAGATTCAGATTTAGTGTTGCTATTAATATTGACTTTGACAAGTTTCAGTGGAAATCTTTGAATAATTATTTAAAAGAAACTTTTTTTTAAGTTGACCTTTAACCTTGGTAATCTCTATATCACAAAAAAGATGAAAAATTTAAGTACTAAGAAATAAGTGGCAGCTTCTGTTACATAGTGGTACTAAACTTAATTTCAGTAAGAGTCCTAGTCCCTAAATGCCTGTCATGCTAACAAAGGTTACCATACGAAACGGTTCATGTATGTGTTAGAAGAAAAACACAAAAGAGTTCAATAGACATGTACTTAAAGGACCTGGAGATGAAAAACATTTAAAATAGTATCAAGTTTCTAAGCAAAGAAGTGCTGTTATTGGTCATTAAAATAGTCAAGGTGGCTTGTTTTCTTAAGTAATATACTCTTGATTTTTGTTGGATACACATAAACATTACTGATGGGTAGACTCTTTATAGAAAACTTTTCAGAAACATGGGTCAGTAGAGCGCCTGCCTAGTAAGCATGAGATGCCTAAGTTCAAATCCCAGTACCACCAACAAATAAAAAGAAAAAGAATTCAAGGCCAGCCTAGACTATGTAGTGAGACCCTGTCCAAAAAAAGGAAACATGAGTTAAGGGTTTACTATTTTATGCCCTTTGACCCTTCTTTTTCACTATTATATTTCCTAAGAAGTAAATGTTGATAAAGAATTAATGCACAATTGATCAGTACAAAAAAATTCAAATGGAGACAATCAGAAAGTGTTTTTGTTTTTACTTTAAGTGATGCTGTAGTCTGGCTTTGCATTATTGAAGTTGTAGCATCAGAGATGGACAACCATGTCCTCACCAATCTAAAGTTTCTTAAATTGGACACATTAACAAAATCATTTTTAAATGCAACTTGAAAAATGGCATCATATCAAGAATGTAGTAAATTAGTAATGTCTTTTTTTCCTTACCCTCCCCTCAATCATTACTAATTTGTATTAAACTTGGTAATCATTTGATTTAGCATCCTAATAAGATAAGGTCTAAATTTTCAAGCAACTTTAACTCATTTATTATTTTTAATTCGTGCAACTTGAAAAGAAGCCTGGGTATAGAGTCATCATATACTTTTAAAACATAGAACAAGCAAAATTTTTCCCTCATAATTATTAGATAAAAGGAAAGTAGTAACTTTTCTTTATTACTTATTTAACTTGTTTATCAGAAATGGCGGGTTTTTTTTTTTTCCTGAGACTTCATTCTGCTAGAACGAGAAAAGAAAACATCTTTTAAAATATTTTCTATTATTTTATTATTGAAGTTTGTCAATGGTAGATATTCTTTACTATTACAAAAATCTCCTGCGTGGATTATTTCTTTTTTATTTTAGTTTTCTTTTTATTCCATTGTCTTGTGCCATCTTAGATTATTACCCAATTGTGCTTATTTCATAAGCATAAGAGTAATATAAACTGAAAAATAACTGTAAAACTAGATTCATAATCATTATGTTTAGTTGGATGATGATTTTATACTAATGATCTCAAGAGAAGAAGAGATTGAGCATTCTACAAAAGGTACAAATATATTAGCATTGAGTTCATATTAAGTTGCCAATTTTCTTAGGCAAAGTATATAGAAAGTATTTTCAATCTGTTTGAACACTTTAAAGGCATTTTTTCCTATACAAGTTACTTTATTTACTGTTTTTACACTTTTTAAAAACTAAAATGAAGATGCCTTGTTTGGGGGTAAACTAAGATCACTTGTAAAAATGGTGATTAAACACTAAATGCGATGTCATACTGGGCTCCTGGAACATCTTTTGCCTCTTCCTGCCTTGGATCAGGGCATAGTGAAAATACTTAGGAAAATGTAAAAAAGTTTGCAACATCTAGTAAAAGTAGATGAAGTTTTATTACATCATTTACTCTTCCAGGCTGAGATTTTAATGTAAGCAGGAGAAATTTGGCTTATGTTTGTTCCTGTCTTAAGATTTTTTACTGGTTTCTGTAAACATAATATACATTTCAAGAAACTACTTTTCATGTTAAATATTAGTTACTGCTTTTTATAGCCTTTCACAATGGAAAATAGCCCTGTGTTCAGGTCTCACTTCTGGGATTATGTCTAGGAGCAAATCTCACAAACTCCTCTGGATTTTGTTTTCCTCTACAAAATGAAAGAATTGACTCAGTTTATCTCTAAGTCCTTCTGAAATTCTAATTATTTATGAACCTAAATCAGGAGAGTAACCTACAGGTGTTTTTACTTCCAGTTGTTACTAATTTAGATGTCTGTTTGTGATTGGTGATTGAAAATACATTTGTTAAAAGTTTAAGCTTATTAAGACAAAGTAGTAATATTTTAAAGTTTTAATTTTTTAACATTTTTCTCACTCCTAAACCTATTTGCAGTCACTCCCTAGTCCCTTCACCTTCTTTCTCTGTGGATTTGCCTATTCAGAACATTTTAGATAATAGATAATACATTCATATTGTATGTGGCCTTTTGTGTCTGGCTTCTTCTAATTACCATAATTCAAGGTTCATCCATGCTGTTGTATGTATTAGTACTTCAGTCTTTATGAGACAAGAGCTGTGTTTGCTTTATATATGCAGTAGAATCATACAGTTAAAAAATGATTCAAAAACAGTAGTAAAATAACCATGTATACAAAAGACTGCTATAGTTTATTGCTGTAAACTTTTAACCATTTTGACTATCTTATCTCCATAGTTTAGATTTTGAAGAATGTGCTCATAAGTTGCTGAAAATGGAGTTTCCTGAAAGTCAAACAGTACGTTAATACTTTTTATTTCCTATTTACATGGACATATTGGTTATAAAAGTGTTTAAGGCACTTATTAGGTAGGTTTTATGCATTGGAACAATAGCTCAATGCTAAATATTCACTTTTAACATTTAGGTTTTCTGCAACTGGAAAATAACTCAAAGCTTATAGGAGTCCTATAGTTATTCCATATATGCAAATCACTCCAGTGAATTGTCTGATTGAATAATACATTGAAAAATATACTCTGAGAAACACCACACTTTACATAGAATTTCTGGGTGGTTGCCTATAAATCAAATTGTGACTTAAATACAATAGGAAATTTGTTCATTAATTAATTCCTGGTTCACTGTGTTTATTCACTAAAGCTTTCTTTTCTGGTAGAAATTATTCTACTTGGATATAGAAGCATTTATTTATTTCATTCATTAATTCATTTAGCAATCAGTGTATTCAGCATACACTATACCCTTTGCCATGTGTCAGGGTTTTAACAATTCATAAAGTAAATAGGGCCTTCTCTTAACCTCATGGGACTCATTGTCTTATAACTCAATATACTTGACTCTCAAAAGTATCAGAACCCTAATCCCAAATATAATAAAGATCAAATTGAACAAGTTAAATTATATTGTATGTTTTTTTACTGGCTGTCTTCTTACATTTATTGCTCTCTGCTCCTCTAGATTTTGGCCCTGGGAACCTGAGGCAAAGATTTGGTGATTTTATTTTTTCACTTTGTCTTACATATAGTACATTCCACACAGATGCTGGATTGAATGTAGCAGCTAGAGTGGTCTGTTCAGTTTCTAGCTCTTCTAGTTCTTGATTATCTGAGCTAAGTCACTGTTTGTCTTAAGGCTTAAGGGATTGGTAGGCTGTGGTCCAGGCCCATTGTTTATTTTTATAAATAAATCTTCATTAGAATAAAATAATGCCTTTTCATTGATTTACTAATTCCTCCGCCCCCCACCACCCCTCCACCACACACACACAGCCAGACTGTCCCCTACCCTCTACCCCCTGCCTTGGCTGTTTTCAACCACAATAGCAAAATAAGTAGTTTCCAGAGACATTGTGTTGGCTCTCAATCCTAAAATACTTACTGTCTGGTCCCTTACAGAATAAATTTGCTAATCTTTGTTCTGTAATGTAGATTTATTCCTAAAATGTCATGGTATGGAACTTTGAGAAAATTTATTCTTTTCAAATTTTAAAAATTTGGTTTTCTTTTTTAAAGTTTGTTTGATATATATTAATAAGTTTCCCTGTTTATACTCTGGCTGGACTTGGCATGTCATCCTTGGAAGAAAGTAAATAGTAAATTAACCTTTAAAATTATAATTGACACTGAAATTAAAGTAATTAATGTATGCTCTTGTTTCATTTGAGCAAAATTATTAAGTCATTATAAAAATTAATCCAGGGGACAGTTTTTCTGGAGTCAGTCTCACCATATTCTGATGATATTTGAAGGTATCTTAGTGCATCTATTTTCAAGCAATCAGAAGCTCCTAAAATTGTTCTAACATTTAATTGAAATGTTAAAATAATTAATTATGATAATCCATAGGGAATAATTTATCATTGCATTTAGTGTAGGGAAGATAGTAATTTGTTTTGCAGGTAGTGTTGACTTTTAGCAATGTATTGGCATATTACCATATTTTCTTGTTTATAATCTGATTAACTGCCATGTTGCAAAACACAATTTTGGTAGGAAAAGTTGAAAGTGAATTTTAATATATCCAGTTAACATAATATAGAAGAATTTAGAAAAGCCTCTTTTTAAGTTAATTAATAAGGAATTTAACAAAGTTTATGTTTTGGGGACTAGACATTTATAAACATTTAATTGAGTTAACTTGTAATGGATGCTTTTTAAAAAATGCTATCAATATTATGTCATCCGAAATACCTTGTATTTTAGAGTAAGGCATCTGCCTATGTTGTTTCAGGGTAAGTTATTCAGTTCCTAGAGCAGCACTGTCCAGTAGAAGTTTCTGTACTGATGGAAATATTTCCATTCTGTCTAGTACAGCAGCCACTAGTCGCATGTGGCTTTTGATTACTTGAAATGTGGCCATTGTGACTTAGGAACCAAAATTTCACTTTTATGTAACTTTAAGTAATTTAAATAACCACATGTGTCTAGTGGCTCCCATGTTGCACAGCACAATTAGTGTTTGTTTTATGCTTCTCTGGTTTCCCTGATTGGCTACACTGAAAACCCCTCGCCCTGAACTCTCTGACATAAATTTACATAGATGTGTACAGTAACTGCTTATTTACCTAATTTTGTATACATTTACAATTTTTACTTAGGTTACATCTGTATTATTGACTATGACAAAATGGTTAATTGAAAATATAAAGATAAAACTTAAGTGAAAGAAGATATATTTTGTTTTTATAGGAATGCTTTCTATTTAAAGAAACCAAATAAATTCCAGTTACTATATTTCAGTAAAAATTATTTTAGATATTTCTAATAAATGTTTTCTAGAAAAAGATAGTCAGTTCTATAGTGATGGTGCAAAAATGAATTTCTGCCTATTTCATTTCCTTCTCCATTCACTATGTTGCCCAAGTTACTTCATCTATGAAGCTGCTGCAATCATTAGGATTATTTCAGGAATTAATAACATTTATTAATTAAAAGTATAATTAGTTAAGTATAAATCACTTGTGATGATAATATTTTCTGATCAGGGATTTATTTATTAGTTGAACAGAATTTTCAAGTTTTTTCAAGGAACCTAAATAGCTGATCATATAGTGATTCCATTTATTTATATAGATACAGGTATAGATAAACTTATATGCATAACATTTATTTTCAGGCTAGAAAATTCAGCCACCAATGTGGTTTTTTTTTTTTTTCCTTTATTTTTTTTTTTTTATTTTTTTTATTTCTTTTTTTTTTAATTTTATTATGCATATGTGCATACAAGGCTTGGGTCATTTTCCCCCCTGCCCCCACCCCCTCCCTTACCACCCACTCTGCCCCCTCCCTCTCTCCCCCACCCAATACCCAGCAGAAACTATTTTGCCCTTATCTCTAATTTTGTTGTAGAGAGAGTATAAGCAATAATAGGAAGGAACAAGGGTTTTTGCTGGTTGAGATAAGGATAGCTATACAGGGAATTGACTCACATTGATTTCCTGTGCGTGTGTGTTACCTTCTAGGTTAATTCTTTTTGATCTCACCTTTTCTCTAGTTCCTGGTCCCCTTTTCCTATTGGCCTCAGTTGCTTTTAAGGTATCTGCTTTAGTTTCTCTGCATTAAGGGCAACAAATGCTAGCTAATTTTTTAGGTGTCTTACCTATCCTCACCCCTCCGTTGTGTGCTCTCGCTTTTATCATGTGCTCAAAGTCCAATCCCTTGTTGTGTTTGCCCTTGATCTAATGTCCACATATGAGGGAGAACATACGATTTTTGGTCTTTTGGGCCAGGCTAACCTCACTCAGAATGATGTTCTCCAATTCCATCCATTTACCAGCGAATGATAACATTTCGTTCTTCTTCATGGCTGCATAAAATTCCATTGTGTATAGATACCACATTTTCTTAATCCATTCGTCAGTGGTGGGGCATCTTGGCTGTTTCCATAACTTGGCTATTGTGAATACTGCCGCAATAAACATGGTGTGCAGGTGCCTCTGGAGTAACAGTCTTTTGGGTATATCCCCAAGAGTGGTATTGCTGGATCAAATGGTAGATCAATGTCCAGCTTTTTAAGTAGCCTCCAAATTTTTTTCCAGAGTGGTTGTACTAGTTTACATTCCCACCAACAGTGTAAGAGGGTTCCTTTTTCCCCGCATCCTCGCCAACACCTGTTGTTGGTGGTGTTGCTGATGATGGCTATTCTAACAGGGGTGAGGTGGAATCTTAGTGTGGTTTTAATTTGCATTTCCTTTATTGCTAGAGATGGTGAGCATTTTTTCATGTGTTTTTGGCCATTTGAATTTCTTCTTTTGAGAAAGTTCTGTTTAGTTCACTTGCCCATTTCTTTATTGGTTCATTAGTTTTGGGAGAATTTAGTTTTTTAAGTTCCCTGTATATTCTGGTTATCAGTCCTTTGTCTGATGTATAGTTGGCAAATATTTTCTCCCACTCTGTGGGTGTTCTCTTCAGTTTAGAGACCATTTCTTTTGATGAACAGAAGCTTTTTAGTTTTATGAGGTCCCATTTATCTATGCTATCTCTTAGTTGCTGTGCTGCTGGGGTTTCATTGAGAAAGTTCTTACCTATACCTACTAACTCCAGAGTATTTCCTACTCTTTCTTGTATCAACTTAAGAGTTTGGGGTCTGATATTAAGATCCTTGATCCATTTTGAGTTAATCTTGGTATAGGGTGATATACATGGATCTAGTTTCAGTTTTTTGCAGACTGCTAACCAGTTTTCCCAGCAGTTTTTTTGTTGAAGAGGCTGCTATTTCTCCATCGTATATTTTTAGCTCCTTTGTCAAAGATAAGTTGCTTATAGTTGTGTGGCTTCATATCTGGGTCCTCTATTCTGTTCCACTGGTCTTCATGTCTGTTTTTGTGCCAGTACCATGCTGTTTTTATTGTTATTGCTTTGTAATATAGTTTGAAGTCAGGTATTGTGATACCTCCTGCATTGTTCTTTTGACTGAGTATTGCCTTGGCTATTCGTGGCCTCTTGTGTTTCCATATAAATTTAAGTAGATTTTTCAATCTCTTTAATGAATGTCATTGGAATTTTGATGGGAATTGCATTAAACATGTAGATTACTTTTGGGAGTATCGACATTTTTACTATGTTGATTCTACCAATCCATGAGCATGGGAGATCTCTCCACTTTCTATAGTCTTCCTCAATCTCTTTCTTCAGAAGTGTATAGTTTTCCTTGTAGAGGTCTTTCACATCTTTTGTTAGGTTTACACCTAGGTATTTGATTTTTTTTGAGGCTATTGTAAATGGAATTGTTTTCATACATTCTTTTTCAGTTTGCTCATTGTTAGTGTATAGAAAT